CCCCAAGACGGCCCAATTGGCGTCCAAGACGACCCCAAAGCGCGTTTAAGAAATGCCCCGAAGATGCCCCCAAGCCAAGGTGGCCCCTGGAGATGCTGGCGGTCCCCAAGAGGCCGCCAGAGTCCCAAAAGAAGCTTCCAAGCAGCCCCCAAGAGGCCCCCAACAGACGCCCAAGTGCCTCCCGCGAGTCCCCCGAGCGGCCCCCGTGGAGACTTCTTGATGCTCCTTGCACGCCTCGGATCGAAGACACCTCCATTCCAGAAGATATGCAAATTCTCCCCCTCACTCCTCCTCATCTCATTTCTCCTCCTCCTTCTTCTCCTGCCTCCTCCTCGTCTCCCTCACCCACTCCTATTCTCCCCTGCTTATTCCTCCCTTCTCCCTCCCGTCTTTCTCCTCTCTCACTCTCTTGTTCTCCTTCATTTCCTGCTGCGTTATCCTCTCTTCATCCTCTTCCATCTCCCTCCTCCCGTTCTCACTCCCCCTCCCTCTTTCCTCCTTCCTCCTCCTCCTTCCTCCTTCCTGCTCCCTTCCTGTTCCTGTCCGTTGTGGAATTCCAATGTGTTGCGAAAGTTGGTTCCAACGTGTCCTCGGATACCCAAATGGCCCCGAAGAGAAATTCAATTAGCCGAGGAATGGCCCATGACTGCCGCGAATACCAAGACTCTATGCGACTCCCAGCACCAATGCGTGGGCTTCCAAGCCAAGGGCCCGACCATCCGGACGCGTCCCGACTTGCGTGAAGTACAGATTTCCCCTCCTTCGGGCGTGTCGCCTCGCCACGCCCCCCCCCTCAACTTAACTGAGCTTGCCAGAGTCTGCAGAAAACTGCTCCGAGTCTCCAGATGTCCACGGAGATGGTGCGCCGCTGTCTCCCCCGAGGTCGCCGCGGAGGCCCCTGTGGAGGCCCCCCTCTGGAGGCTTCCATCCGGAGGCTCTTTGAGAGTGGCGAAAAGCACCCTCTGCGGACCCCATCCCCTCGATCACTGAACCCCTTGTGGCTCGAGCCCGCCCCCGCGCCCGTGCGCTCGCGTGGGGAGACAGGGGGGGAGCGGGAGGATGGGGGAGGCACGGATGGAGACAGGGAAGCAGGCAGGGATGGAGGAAGAGAGGAAGGGAGGCAGGGAGGGAAGGGAGGAGGGTGAAGCAGGGAGGGGTGGGTGGGTGGGGGTGGTCTCCTCCTTCCTCCTCCTCCTAAATCCTCCTCCTCCTTCCCCTCCTTCCTCATCCTCCCTTCTTGCCTCTCCTCCCTCCCTCCCTCCCTCCCTCCCTCCCTCCCCCCCCCTCCCTCCCTCCCTCCCTCCCCCTCCTCCTCCTCCTCCTCCTCCCTCCCTCCTTCCCTCCCTCCCTCCTCCTCCTCCCTCCCTCCTCCTCCTCCTCCTCCTCCTCCTCCTCCTCCTCCTCCTCCTCCTCCTCCTCTTCGAGCCCCCCCCTCGAGCTCCCCCCTCGAGCCCCATCGCCCCTCCCTCCGAGCTCGCCGCTCCCGCCTCATGGGCGCCTGCTCCAGCACCGACGGGGCGCCGCCCTTGCGGCGCCCCGGCGCGGCCGCGCCGGCGCCGCCAGCGCCCGGCCGCGGCGAAAGTCCTGGCCCGGCGGGCCCCAGCCGCGCGGCGCCAGGCGCGGTGAACACGCAGGAGACGGGGCGTGTGTGCGGTCTGTGTGTGGGTGGAGCTGATGATGATGATGATGATGATGATGATGATGATGATGATGATGATGATGATGATGATGACGATGATGGTGATGATGGTGATGATGAGGATGATGATGGTGATGCTGAGGGTGATGATACGGATGATGATGCTGATGATAATCATGGTGATGAGGATGATGATGTGGATGCTGCTGATGATGATAATGAGGATGAGGATGATGATGATGCTGAGGATGATGATGCTGATGAGGGTGGTTGTGGCGATGATACTGATGGTAATGATGAGGGTGGTGGTGGTGCAGATGGTGGTGATGATGACGACAACGATGATGATGGTGATGATGATGAGGACGAGGATGATGGTGATGAGGATGATGATACTGAGGATGATGGTGATGAGGACGATGATGAGGGTGGTGATGATGCTGATGATGATGAGAGTGGTGGTGGTGATGATACTGATGGTGATGATGAGGGTGGTGGTGATGAAGATGATGGTGATGATGATGATCACGACGGTCATGATGATGCAGATGGTGATGGTGATGGTGATGGAAGTCACCATGCTGATGATGATAATGATGGTGATGATGATGATAATTATAATGGTGGTGATGATGACGACGATGATTATGGCAACGACCACGACTATGATGCTGATGATCATGAAGATGGTGATGATGATGACGACGGCGACGTTGACGACGACGCTGATTGTGTGATGCTGACGATGACGACTATGTCTACGACGATGGTGATGATGATGGTGTCGATGATGGTGGTGATGATGATGATGATTTTCATTATGAAGACGACAGTGATGATGGTGATGATGATTGTAATAATGACGATGATGGTGGTGTTGATGATGATGTTGATGATGATGTTGATGATCGTTGACGACGATGAAGATGGTGATGACGACGACTGTGATTATGATGATGATGATGATCATGGTGATGATGATCATGGTCATGGTAATGATGGCGATGATTATGATGACGATGACGGCCTTGACGACAACGGTAATCACGGGATGATGATTTTGGCGACGTCGACGACAGTGATGATGATATTGATGATGCTTTTGATGATGACGACAGTGATGATGGTGACTGTGGTGATGGCGATCATGCTAATGATAACGATGGTGACTATGACGAAGATGATTCTGATTATGATGAAGATGCGGGTGAGTCTGACGACTGCGACGATGACGATGTTGATGTTTGTGACGGCGATGACGGCGAGAAATCTGATGATTGAGTTGATGATGGTGGTGATGATGATGACGACGTCGACGACGACGATGATTGAAATGATGCGGATGACAACGATGACGACGTTGACGACGACAACGACGATGGTGATGATGATGACGACTACGATGACGATCATTATGATGCTGATGATGGTGATGCTGCTGACGATGACGATGGCGATGACGATGCTAATGATTGCGGTGATGGCGATTATGCTGATGCTGATGACGACGCCAAAGGCGATGTCGATGACGACGATGATCATGATGAATATGATGATGATGCTGATGACGATAATGATGGTGCTGATGTGGACGATCATGGCGGCAACGACGTTGACGACGACGATGAATGTAATGATGATGCTGGTGATGCGGATTATGGTGATGATGATGATGAGACGACGATGACGATGATAATGCTGGTGATGATGATGACGATGATGGTTGTGATGATGCCGACGACGATGCTGATCATGACAACGATGACGATGATGATGATGATTGTGAGGGGACTGGTGGTGTTGATCTTCACGACGACGATGCTGATGATGGCGACGGCGACGATGACGATGACGATGCCGATGGCGACGACGATGATGATGACGGTCACGCCGTTGCCGACGACGATGCGATCACGATGACGATTATGATGATGTTGATGCTGTTACTCATGATGACGACGATGATTATGCTGCTGATTATCGTGCTGGTGACAATGAGATGAGGATGGGGATGATGATAGCGGTGGCTGTGGTGGCAAGGATGAGGACCCTGATGATCATATTGATGTTGTTGGTGATGATGGTGATGATGGTACTGTCGAGGCTGATGACGACGACGATGGTGATGAAGTTGCTGATGATAATCAGGATGGTGATGTCTATGAGGACCGTGGTGGAAATACAAAGGAATGAAGGTGCTGAGGGTCATGCAGATGTTGCCGCTGATGATGAATATCCAAACGATGAGGATGATGGTGGTGCTGATGAGGGTGAGGATGCTGGGTATGATGATGACACATCTGCTACTGATGATCATGGTGAAGGTGGGAATGATGATGAGGATGATCACGCTACGGGAGGCGGCGGAGGCTGAAGAGGGGGGGGGGAATAGTAAGAGGAGGGTGATGAGGACGAGTACTAAAAAGGAAGATGAGGACGAACACTAAAGAAGACGAATGGCTAACACTACATGCCTATTCTACTCATACCCTGGACCCCCTCTTAATATCCTGCGTATCCTCCCTCTCCTCCATGCTCCTCATCTCTATTTCGCCTCATCCTCCTCCTTTGCGTTACTCCCTCCTTCCTCCCTCTCTCCTTATCCTTCCGCACCCCTACTCCTCCTCTCCCCCTCGCTGCCCTTGGCCAATCCGCTGCCGACGTCTTCGCCTTTCCCGAAAGTCAGCTCAAGACTGTTCCCCAGCCACCCTCGTGGTCAAACGTGGTATTTTTTGCGAGACGCGTCCGTCGGGGGTCCCCAAATTTTACGGTGACAACACCGTGTGGTCAGTCAGTGGGGATAGGGGGTGGCCGCACGGTTTTGGAACTTGGGTCGTTATCCGAGGACGTCTCGGGCGACTGGGGCCTCCCAGGTCCCAAAGCCGTGCGTTGACGGACTCTGCCGTGAGGTTTCTCGTGATCTCGAGGTCGCCGCACGGTCTGTCATTGCACCGCTTCGGGACCGCCAGTCTGGCCGTGGCGACCATCACCCCGCAAAGCGCGCTAGAATCTCTGAAACGAAGGCGCCGACCGTGCCGCCATCGTCGTCGTCGTCGCCGCCGCCGCCGTCGTCGTCGTCGTCGTCGTCGCCGCCGCCGTCGTCGTCGTCGTTGTCGTCGTCGTCGTCGCCGTCGTCGTCGTCGTCGTCTTCGCAGTCGTCGATCTCATCGTCGTCGATATCGTCGTCGTCGTCGTCGGCGGCGGCGGCGGCGGCGTCTCCCCGAGGTCCCTGGAGGTCCCCGCAGGTCCCCAGAGGCTCCAGGGGTCCCCCTCCGAGAGGCGGCCAGAGGCCCAGGCGAGCGCGAGGCTGGGCCCGAGGGGGCAGCGGCGTCGCCGCCGCCGCCGCCGCGCCCCGCAGGAGCTGGAGCGGCTCGTGTCCATGCGGCGGCCGCAACCTCGGGGGCGGGCGGCCCAGGGGGGAGGTCCCGGGCGGGCGACCTCACTTGGGGGGGTGACCTCACTTCGGCATGGTTTATCCAATCCCCATCCCCATCCCCATCCTCCTCGAGACCCCCACCAAATCACCCCCCTGGTTGGGGATGCACCCCTCGAAACCCGAAGGGAACGGCCTATATCCCCATCTAGGGGGTAAATCGGCCAGTGGGGCCCAGGCCACGCCGCTGGGGATGGAGATCGGTGAAACGATACTCATCACTGGGGGGGGGACCTCACTGGGAGGTGACCTCACTGGGGGGGTGACCTCGCTGGGGGGTAGAGGGGGGATGCGTGTCATGCCCTCCTCGGGCGGGTGGTAGCGGGGGGTGACCTCACTGGGGGGTGACCTCACTGGGGGAGTGACCTCGCTGGGGGGCAGTGGGGGGGATGCGTGTCGTGCCCTCCTCGGGCGGGTGGTGACGGGGGGTGACCTCGCGGGGGGGGTTGAGGACAAGGGCCCCAAGTGGGCCCTTCAGGACCCCCTTTCGAGCTCCATTGGCTCAAAAGGAGCCATTTTCTTTACCCCTTGATACCCCCATGGGCTCCAGAAGGGGCCGCAAAGGGCCCCACTGGGACCCTTGTCTTCCCTTCCCATTCGGGCTGCCCCCGAGTGGGATACGTGGGCATGGCACGCATCCCCCTGGGAGCCTCATCGGATACGTGGGCGATCGCCGCCCCTGGATGCACTCCCAGAGCTCTGGCGTCGTGTTTGGTTTACAGCGTGGGCCCCTGGAAGTCTCGACCTCTTCCATGGGCCCGGATCTTCATCCTGAGAGTTCTTTGGGCGGTCCCGAGTCTCGGTGAAGGCCCCAAGGGGTGGAAACTTCCAAAAACCACTTCCCGACAACTTTTCCGACGACGCGAGGATGTCAGGGATGTACGGTCCAACATCTGATTCAGCAACCTCCTCCCGAAAAGTTGGGCCAACGTTCCTGAACCAACTTTCTGGAAAGCTGGTCCATTTTCTCAAGGGGGTTCGCGCCTCCAACGTGAACGCATGAGTTGGCCCGGGTTTGTTTTAAGACATCTCCGGGCAGCTGGTCCAGATTCTTTCAACTACCATTGTCCTGATCATATTTTCGGCTGTGCACCTTAGGCGATGCTTAAGCAAACCAAACTTTTCGGCCAGAGTCTCGATTATTCTTAACGTTTCAATGTAAATCTTAAGATTTTGATAGAAATGTTGGGTTTTTATTCAAGTTCTGAGACCATGAATTTCTTAACCCATGATTTCTTAGCCATTTCGCGTGGTGTAGCTCTCCCCCCCTGGGCCATGCACCCGTGTTGCCTCCGCTGGTCCGTGGGCTTCGAGCGGGCCAGGGCCCAGCGGGCGCTGCTGCTGAGAAGGGGCATGTCGGGCGCGCTGCAGGCGTCGTCGTCGTCGTCGCCGTCGTCGTCGTCGCCGTCGTCGTCGCCGCCGTCGTCGTCGCCGCCGACGCCGCCAATTTCGTCATCGCCATCGTCGTCGTTATCGTCGTCGTCGCCGCTGCCGCCGCCGTCGTCGTCGTCGTCGTCGCCGTCGTCGTCGTCGTCGCAGTCCTCGTCGTCCTCGTGTTTGCCGCCGCTGCCGCCGCAGTCGCGTCGTCGTCGTCGTCATCGTTATCCACCTTCTTCCCCTCCTTAGGAGGCTATTTTCTGTGCCCTCCCTTGCCTCCGTAGACTTCAGGAAGCGGCTGGAAGGATGAATGAGGATGATGATGAGGAGGAGGAGGAGGAGTGAGGATGCTGCTGATGAGGAGGAGGTGGAGGATGAGTTTTTTAGCTGAGCTCCAAGATCAACATGATGACAGAGGATGATGGACCACAGCAGGAGCAGGAATATTTTTACACATGATAAACAAGTGTCCTCTGGTCCTACCTGCTATCGTGTAGAAGGGACCTGTCAAAGCCTTCTTGGGCCCTCATCCCAGATGCTCACCGTGGTCGGGTGCTGACCTTCCCACCAACATTCCCGCATTCTTGCGCGTAGCTGGATCATCACCCACCACGTGCTTGCCCGACCATGCTGCACAGTATTCTCACGTGCCCCGAACGTGCACGTGGCTGACACATTGATCACTACGTGCCCTCTTCAAAGTGCCAGATGCTGCTACTGCACTCCTCGCAGGAGCTGATCCCAGTAGCTGAAGAGGCTTCAGCTGCGCACCACTTGTAGTGCCAGTTGCTGCTACTGCACGCCTTCTCACACTAGCTGCCCCAAGCGTTGTAGCTGATCGCATGCCGCTCCTGCACCTTGCCCCTCGCAGCACCCGCTTTGGCTGCCGCTGCCTGCATTGTCGCTCGCGCTGGTCCTATCGTTGTAGCTGATGCCATGTGTTGCTCCTGCTCTGCCATGGTGATCTGGCCAGCGCCGCTACCGCTGCCATTGCACACCTTCGGGCACGAGCCGCCCCCCACCGTTGTGACTAGCCGGTCGCGTGCGGCTTCTGCACGGTCGCTGCCTGCTCGCGCGAGCTGCCCCCCGGCTTTGTAGCTGATGCCATGCTGCTCCAGCTCTACCGTGGCCCTTGCTGCCGCCGCTGCCACCTCGCGCTTTCTCGCACGAGCCGACCCCAGCATTGTAGCTGATCGTATGCCACTCTCTCGCATGAGCTGCACCCAGCGCTGTGGCTGATGACGCGCCGCTCCTGCTGTGGTCACTGCACTGTTTTTCCCACGAGCTGCCCCCGAGCGTTGTAGCTGATCTCTTGCCGCTCCTGCACTCTCGCTGCCTCATCGCACGAGCTGCCCCCAGCGTTATAGCCGATGACGTGCTTCTCCTGCTCTGCTGCGGCGCGCTGGCCACTACATCTACTGCACACCGTCTCGCACGTGCCACTTCCGGCGTCGTAGCTGCTGACGTGCTGCTCCTGCACTGTAGCTGATGACTTGCCGGTTCTGCTCTGCCGCGATGCGCTAGCCACTGCAGCCACGTTACACCCTCTCGCACGCGCTACCGTAGCTGATGACGTGCGGCTCCTGCGATGCCAGCCTCCACGGCCACTGCCTGCCCTGCAGCAGGACACGCCGCCACTGCCTGCTCCTTGCCTCTCTGGCCGAGCAGACTGCCGCCGCCTGCCCTGACGCGCGAGCGGACCCCAGCGGGGGAGCCTGTGCTGTACGCCTCGGGCGCCAGCTCGTGCTGGCAGCTCATGCTGCGTCAAAAAGGAGGAGACGGACGAGGAGGTCGGAGGGAGGGCGGGAGAGGACGGAGGACGGAGGACGGAGGGAGGAATGATGGGAGGAATGTCGGGGAGAAGGAAGCAGCATGAAGGGGGAGCATTATGGTAGTTCCTGGTGTGATCGGCAGGAAATCGCACGCTTTGATCATGAAGAATGATGAGGATGATCAGAATGACGAGGAGCAGTGAGAGTGTGTCTGAAGGGTTCTGGAGGCTTTCTGCGGTTTGGGGAGTCTAAATGGGGGATCTTGAGGTTTCTTCGGGGACCACCCGATGTAGGGGATGAAGAGGATGATGAGGTGGTTTGGTGTGATATACCATGTCTCTTGAAGGAGGGAGGATGGCCCATTGTGCCTCCAGGGGCTGCTGGGGAATTTTAATAGCAGGGAGGGTGGAAGTAGGTATGAACGAAGATGGAGGACACATGATGATGCTGATGGTACTGATGATGATGGTGATGAGGAGGAGGAGGACCAGGAGAAGGAGGAGGAGGAGGAAAAGGAGGATGAGGAGGAGGAGGAGGAGGAGGAGGAGAACAGGAGGACGAAGCCGAGAGAGGGAGGGCGACGAGGAGGGAGGGAGACGACGAGTGGGGAGGGGGGACGAACGAGGAAGAGGAGGATGAGGAGGAGGAGAGGAGAGAGGGAGGGAGGAGGATTAATAGGATCAGTGTAAACCCCAGGCGCACCATCGATGTTGCAATAAACCCTTCCTCCAAGTTCCCTCTTCATGGGTCCCTACACGAATTTGTTGTCATAGTGGGAGGTGCTCCATTGAAGGACACTTGCTTTAGAATCGTCAATCGCATCAGAACACCAATCCCTGGACTTCAACTTCGCGAATCAACGTGACTATTGCGCCATGTCAATCAGAAGTCCTACTAGAGCACCGTTCCTGGGATTTCAACGCCGCGAATCGAACAAAACCGCCCCAGAAGGCCACTTCCGGCACTTTAACACACGAGTCCTTGAACTTGTCGTGCACTTCTAAGACGAATGCGCACGGCCCTGAGGTGAGAGTGGCATTATGAAAAGGAGCTGCCCTCTGTCCTTTAAGCTGCCGCAGACTTTTGAGACACATGTGAGCGGTGCTAAGACAATAGCCACATGTTGAAAAGGAATCTTACGTCCTTCAAGCTGTTGCAAACTGGGAATGTGTGCGCGGCGCTGAAGCGAGAGCCTCATTTTGAAAGCGGCCAGCCTTACGTCCTTGAACATGTTGCAAGCTTTTAAAGCGAATGTGCGCGGGGCTAAGGTGAGAACCGCATTTTGGCAACCACCCGCACTCCATCCTTGAAGCTAATGCGAATTTCAAGCCTCCGGCCCATAAATGGTAAGATCGTCTCATTCGAAACGCCTGACCCGCCCTACAACACTTCTGGGCTTGCGACAGGGGTGAATTATGTGTACGAAAAGTGTATGACTGAGTAGGTGGAGGAGGTGGTTCCACTTAAACCTGGTGGGCTGTAGGGGGCATCTGAGAGGGAAGGATGGAAGGGAGGACTGTGAGGAAAACGTTCGTGTCTGCTGGGCGTTTCTGCAAACTGCACGCTCCTTGGCAGGAGGGATGGGAAGTGGCGGATAAGGAAGCGATGGAGAGGGAGGAGTCGGAGGTGAAGGAGGAAGAGGACAGGTGGTGGAGAGAGGAAGGAGAAGGGATGAGAAGACACATCTCTGCTGTATATCAACTCGCAGCGAAATGTATGCCGAGGCAGCGGGATCCCGTCGTCGTCATCCTTGTCGTCGTTGTTGTGGCCGTCGTCGTCGTCGTCGTCGTCGTTGTGGCCGTGGTCGTTGTCGTCGTCGGCGGCGGCGGCGTCTGCAGCGTCGTCTTCGTCAGCGTCGCCACCTCCACTGAGTCAGGATCCGGAGTTTTGAGCGAGCACCCGTGGAACGTGGGCTGAGCAGCGGCTGCAGCGGACAAAGTTTTGAGCCTTCCAGGATTTCACCGTGACCTGCACTTGAGACGCAGCTGACGGCCAGCTGAGGCCAGTGCCTGCAGCTGGCGGAGTGACCCTCCGCCAGAGTGACCTGTTGGTGCGGGCCCACTGAGGTCTCCCGATCGCTGCATGCGATGCGTCAGCAGCGGCTTGCGCTCTTGGGTTTGCCCCCTCTCCCCCCCCCGCGTACCCCCCGAAGCCAAAGGACACACTCTTGCCCGGGGGCCACTCTTGCGTGGAGCCGGAAGTCGTCGTCGTCGTCGTCGTCCTCGTCGTCGTCGTCGTCGTCGTAGTCGTCGTCGAGGTCGTCGAGGTCGTCGAGGGCGTCGTCGTCGAGGTCGTCGATTTCGTCGTCGTCGTCGTCGTCGTCGTCGTCGTCGTCGTCGTCGTCGTCATGGTCGTCGTCGTCGTCGTCGAGGTCGTCGCCGTCGTCGTCGAGGTCGTCGTGGGGTGCCGCGCGTGGCCGTCGGGCGCGACGCCAGGCGCTGGTGGAGACCGCCGGGGCCGACGCCGAGGCTGGCGCTCCCAAAGCGTCGGAGGAGGCAAAAGGGGCGGGCATCGGGGAACACGTCATGACCCTAGCTGCCCAGGTACGCAACACGCAACACGTAGTGTGTGGGCACGGAGCTCGTCGCGTAGACACGTAGGCTGGCGCTCCCAAAGCGTCGGAGGAGGCAAAAGTGGCGGGCATCGGGGAGCAAGTTTTCCCGGCGGCGGCGAGGCGGCGAACTCCGCTCCTGCGAGAAGCTAGAAAGGGGCACTAACTTGCGAATTGGCCGGCGAGCAAAGAGGGGGGGCGGCCAAGAGGAAGAGGGGACGCTCAGACGCCGAAGAGTTCGACGATGAGCAGCCAGGTGCGCAGCAGCAGCCAGGCGCGCAGGGCCAGAGCGCGGTGGGCGAAGCATCGGGGAACAAGTCATGACACAAAACAGATCGGGGCTCAAGAGACGGGGGTCAGTGCAGACGGGGGCCAGTCAGAGCGCCGGCTCTTGCAGGATCCTGCGGAGCCAGGGGTGCACTGGCCTGGGCTTGGGCGCAGGATCCTGCAGGATCCTGCAGCATCTTGCAGGATCCTGCAAGACTTGACTGGCCCCGGGGTTGGACTGACCCAGGCCATTGCGTCCCCGATCGGAGGTCCGCGCGGATTTTGTTGGATCGGCGCCTGGCGCCCTCCCTGGCGCGCTCAGCGCGCCCGGGAGGGGGGCTCCAGCGCCGATCCGAGAAAATCCGCGCGGACCTCCGAACATGCACGCTTCTGTCATGATTTGTTCCCCGAGGGCACCCCGGGAGGCGGGCATCACGCGCATTCGCAGGGCAGCCTCGTCAAAGACACGGGCGATCGGAGACCCCGGACACATGCACCCGGGCATCCGACGTCGTGTTTTTTTTTTCCACGAGGTGGTGCCCCAGAGGTCTGGATCCCTTCCCATGGGACTGGCTCTTCCTTCTGAGTTTTCTTTCGACGGTCCCCAGGCCCAGCAAGGGCCTCCGGAGGCCGAACATTGACAAGAACCGCCCGTCGTGTTTCGGAAGGCGAGGAGGATGTCCGCCAGGACTCGGTCCTCGAGTGGCCCTCCGGGAAGAGTCCAGCACCCCAGGTGCGCTCTCGGCGAGGCGCCGTGGATGGGAAAGCACCCCGAAGCGACGCACCCTCCGAGGACCGCGGGCGACACGCCTGAGAGTTGTTGACAGCGCCCGGAAGCCGCCTGAGCTCGTCCTCCCCGTGCCTCCGGGGAGGGCGGGGGGCAACGGTCGGGATCCGGCCAGATCTTGGTTTCGGTAGGCTGGCGTCGTGTCCACCAGCGGCGACCCCAGCGCGGGCGTTCAAGGTTGAACGTCGCCTGCGACCCAAATTCGGCTGATGTTGAACGATCGGACGTTTGGCAAACTACCGATCGTTCAAGGTTCAACGCTTCCCGCGGTGTCAGGGACCAACGCCGGGGTCGGCACGATACGAACCTGCCGTGCCCTGATACGCCAATGCCAAATCGCAACACGTACCGTATTCAAAACGTCTGTGTTCACGCTGCGTGTTGGCCCGGCACGTGTTGGTCCACAGTTCGGCGAACGTGTCGTTCCAGATCTGCGTTTTCAGCCTGCGTGTGGATCTCCGGGTCAAAACGCTACGTGTTGCGTGTCATGTTTCGGGTGCTCGGGAACTTTTGAATAGCGTGTCGTTCCGCCGGTTCTGGCCCACCACGCTTCGACGCGACACGCTGTCCACATCCCAGTTTCTGGGCGTCACCGTCCCGAGCCTGTCCCACCCTGCCTCGCGGAACGGAGCGACACGCGATCCACTCGCAGGGCAAAGCGTATCGCCAGGGCCGCCGCGGCGACACGCGATCCAAAAGCTCCGGGCCACGAGTAGGAGATCGTCTACAGGGTTCATTTACCCCAGAGAACTGTTTCTGCGTTGATAATACGACAAGTGCGAATAAGTTTTGTAAATCTACGGAGCATGCTACGTGGTTTCTTGTGCTGCTTTTCTTGGTGGAGACTCTACGAAACATCACTTCTGGATCTCCTAGTGATTGGTTTTTCCGCAATCAGTGTTTGCACCGAAGGGGTCCTAGCGGAAGTTGAAGGATTTTGCGAAAGTTCCCGCCGATTTTTGTGGCAGGCTGGGTTCCCGGATTCCCGGGTTCCCGGTTCCGGGTTCCGGGCCGATTTCGGAGGGCGGCGAGGTTCACGGGTCCCCAGGTTCGTGGCCGATCTTCTTATCGATCGGTCTCACCATCGATCTCATTACCGATTTCTCGATCGATCTCACCATCGAGCTTACAATCGATCTCACAATCGATCTCACTATCACTCCCACAAGCGATCTCACTAGAGATCGCATGAGCGATCTCGCGATCGATCTCATTATCGATCTCATTGAATCGATTCCACTCGGTCTCACGATCGACCTTACAATCGTTCTCACTATCGATTCCACTATCGATCCCATTATCGATCTCACAATCGATCTCAAGATCCATAGTATCAGTTCTCAAATCATCCACTGATTGGGGTTTTCTCAGGTGTAGCATATTCGTTGTGTTGCCGATCGGCGCGGTCCCTTGCACCCCCCCCCCTTCCCCCCCCCTGGGGTAGATCTCGTCTATTTTGGGCGCCTGTTTCCAGCAGGTGGAGCCCCTGCCCCATAGGACGCGCGGTTCCAGACAGTCGCACTATAGCGGAGGGCCGGCGCCAGACCCCCCCCCCACTCCCCCCCCCCCTTCCGCCCAATGCCGAAACGCCGAATAAGAAAACGCTCACCTCCTCGAGCATTTCCCCTCGACCCACCACCCACCAAACCACCCCAACCCAACCCGAAGGCCCCAATTTATCCTCGATTTCCAGTGTGGGGGGGGGGGTCGGGGAACATCGAAAAAACACATGGGATCCGTACCCCCCCCAACCCGAAATTCGGGTCGAATTCGGGCCTTCGGGTTGGGTTGGGGTGGTCTGGTAGGTAGTCATCGACCCCCCCGCGGCCGCCCGCCTCCGTTGCAGCCGCCGGAGAGCGCCGGGGAGCCGCGGCGCCAGGGAGCGGGCCGCGCCGGCGGGCGAGTGGCAGTGGCAGGCGTCGGAGGAGTGGAAGCACTACGACCCCGAGGCGGCGGCTCGACTCACCGAGGCGCGCAGAGTCCGGACGATTGGCACTGACCACACGGCCCTGAGCGTTCACTAAAGCAGCCCTGCCCTGTTTGATTCCTTCTTTGGGTGCGTTGGCCAAGCGGCTTCGCGTGTCGGGGTGGTTATGATCGGGGTGGATCTTCTGCCCTCTACAGAGGGGGAGGGATCGGAGGAGGAAGAGGTACCTATACCGCTACCCTTCCCTTGTTTTCCCCTTCTTGGGCATCCTGGGGGGCTCTAGTCGCCGCCGCTGCATTCGCCTCGAAATTCTGGTCAGAGCGCACCCGGGAAAGGTCCGGGGAGTAGCGGTATCGGTACCTCTTGCTTTCCCCAGGGGAGGTGCGCGCGCAACGGTGGGATGGGTATCGGTGCTGGTTCTCAGCTCTGGGGCGGGGCGGTGGGGCGCAGCTGCGCTACTCGCCATCTGTCCGCCCGAACCCTCGAGGGGAGTCCGAATAAGACCATGAGAAAGGATTCAGAACAAATGCCAACGGACAAAGTGATACTGACAAGAAGAACAGACATGATATGGATAACACTCATACTAGGACACTTCATATTTACAATCAACACTAGGGTCAATTATAAGAGTACTTCGAATGCTAACAACAACACGAGATATGGCAGTACGGTGGGGGCGTTGGTTAAGGAATGTGCCCAAGAGGCTTCAGACCTTGGAGGATTCCTTATCTGATGAGGGCGGCGGTGATATCCATGGCCAATCCACGATTGGAGTTCCACCGGCTTCCAGACTCTGGATTCCTTATCCTATGCGTCATTATCCAATGCCCCCACAGTACTAATCGCAGTAATGAGAGAAGATTCGTCGCATTACGAGTCGCAGAACTATTAACAACGAGAAAGAACTATCAACGCAAGAAGGGCGGGGCGGGGCCTACTGAGACCGAGAGAGCCGGGGACTCCCCACGGCGCCACGCCCTCGCGCGGCTCCTCGGGGGAGGGAGGGGGGCAGGAGGGAGGGAGAGGGAAGTCAGGGGGAAAAACACACACACAGACACAATTAATCGTCGACTCCCAGGAAAATATGGGAAATATGGGAAGTGGGGGGGAAGACAAAAACCTAGAAACTGTGGGACAATATGGGATTTGTGTGCATTTCTTTGTGTATCCCTGGGCCCCCCAAGGAAGGAGGGAGAGGGAGGAAGGATGGAGGGAGGGCCAGAGGCAGGAGCAGGGAGGAGGTGTGAGGAGAAGTGGAGGATGGGCGGAGGAAGGGAGGAGGAGGGACGGAGGGCACTCCGCAGTCAGTCCTTACAGTCGGGGCTCTGAACAAGAAACTCTTCTCGTTGGGGAGGGACTCCGTGTACCTTACTTGTTGCGCAGCTTGCCTTAGGTTGTCCTGAGGTTCTCGATGGGGAATCGAAGTCTAACTTATGGAAAAAAGGGGCCTCGTTCCTTATTTAGGGTTCCTTAGGTCAACGCCCCGACTGTACACTCAGTGGGTGTTGTTCCTCTTCTGAGGTGAACGTCACGGGAGGAAAACCCACCCGGACCCGACAATTGGCGTTTAACTACGCGGCCTTGGGCGTTCACTAAACAGCCCTGCCCTGCTTGATTCCTTCTTTCGGTGCGCTGACTGAACGACCTCGCGTGTCGGGGTGGTTACAATCGGGGTGGATCTTCTGCCCTCTCACCTGGGCCCTGGTGCCGCCTCGGCGGGCCTGTGGCCGCCCGTTGCCGCCGGTCCGCCGCCCGTCGACGCCGTGTGCCGCCGCCGTCCGTCGCCGCCGTCCGTCGCCGCCACCCGCGCCGCGCTGCTTTGCGTTGCTCTGCACTGCTCTGCGCCACAAAGATTGCACCACGTGGATTGCGCCGCCTAGACTGCACCACGTAGGTTCCACCACAAAGTTTGCAGACAATTACTGTTTGGGGTCCGTGCTGGCTAACGTTTACACACGTATAGACATCCATCCATCAGTCGCAGTGTTGATACAAAGATATACGGTATGTTATTTGTTTTGTCATGGCATGCTTTGTGCTACTTGATATGCTTGCTTGTTGTTCCGCTGCAGCCTGGGAAGACCCCTCGACGAGGAGAATGAAGAGGAGGAGGAGGACCATAGTAAACCCAAGATGTATCAACGAAGCTCCAGTGCGCCCGCCCGTCTCAAGCCCCTCCTCAGAAGTTCCTATGAGAGCTCCATTTTACTGCGGGACCCCCTTGAAAGTGGAGCGCCCCGTGGCCCCGTGACTCGGGCGATGGCCCTGCTTCGAAGAGGAGCTGCCATCCATGACTCCAGCTGGGAGGGCAGCAACGGGGTAAGATAACATATCCCAAGGACGTCTCTAGCGAGAGCCCCGCTCTGAAAAAAGAGGCGCCCTCAATTCTTTCAACGTTTCTTCAAGTTTAACCGTCAGGCCATAAATCATAAGGAAGTCCCAGCCGATCGCCCCGATTTGAAAAGGAGCCGCCCGCCATCTGTGTAGCCGCTGCGCAGTTCGGGGTTGCGGAAGTCTCGAACTAAAGTCCTGTCTCGAAAAGGAACATGCTCAATCCATGTGGCTGTTGGTAGTTCTCGAGACGAATCTGCGCGGCGCTACGGTCAGGCATGCACTTACAAACGGCCTCCCCTTTTCCATCCGTGTAACGGTTGGTAGTGTTTTTCAGATGGGGGTGTGCTGCGCTAAGACGAGACACACACACACTTTTAGCATCGGTTGCCTTCCACCTGTGTAGCAGTTGAAAGCCTTTCAGACGAATGTGCGCGGTGCTGAGGCGATAACCAAATCTTGAACCTCACCCCTTCATCCGTCCAGTTGTTGTGGAGGTTCAAGGCGAATGTGCGCGGCGCTGAGGCGATACACATCTGTTTGAAGCCACGCACTCCATATGCTTGACGGTTGGCAGCTTTTCAGGCGAATGTGCGCAGCGCAGAGGCGAGAAAACCATGTTCGACATGATGCCCCCCTCCTCCGTGTAAGCGTTGACATTGAAGATGCCAAGCCTTGGGGCCATAAGCGGGGCGGGATCCTCGGCTACCGACACGCTTGGTGCTTTGAGGCGGACGATGTACCGATGCAGGAAGGGATGGAAAGGGAGGGGTGGGGGTGGAGGACGGGGAGGCGAGAAGAGGAGGAGGGAGGAGGATGAGGGAGTAGGGATGGAAGGAGGGATGGAGGAGGGATGAGCAGGGGGCGGGCGGGAGGAGGAGGAGGAGGAGGAGGAGGAGGGATCAGGAGGAGGAAGGACGGTGGGAGGTGTTTGCTGTTGCGTGGTGTTTGTCTGCGTTCTCGGGAGACCCTCGGATGTTGATGATGATGAAGATGATGATGATGATGATGATGATGAAGAAGAAGAAGAAGATGTAGCTTATGATTAAGACGACGATGATGCTGCTGATGATGCCGCTGGCAATGAGGAGGAGGAGGAGGAGGAGGAGGAGCAATATTCTGATGAGGATGAGAGGGGAAGGAGGGATAGTCTGACGCGTTTCAGTCTGCATGGGCCTCTGATCAGGCCCTTGCCGCCACGGCTAGATCCGCCTGGAAGTCTGGAGTCCTGCTGAGAGAATGCGCTCCTGGACTGGTCCATGGGCCGATCTCGAGGCGAGCGGGGATAGGGGAATCGAGCAGTCTTAGGATGAGAACAGACTGTTCCAGGGCGCTGTGGGGCCTTCTTGCAGCGTGCCAGAGCGCTCCAGGACGGCCGCGGCGCCCGATGCGTCCTCTGGGCCGGCCTTGTTTTCGAGCCCCTGGGGGCCCCCTGGGCCTCGTGAGTGGTGCTCTGGAGGCCCACTGGGCCTCGGGAGAAATCCCGGGGGCCCTCCGTTAGGGACGCCTCCAGCAAAAGCCGAAAACCAGTCCCAAGGGCTCAGGAAGAGAGTTATCGGAGTGGGAGGATGGGGTTGGGAGAAAGAGGATATCATTAACCGTAGGCGGTCGAAGGTATCGTTCATTGCATCCGAATGCTATTGCTCATGCCCTGCATCCTTCCAACCCCTTCCTCCCGAGTTGTTCTCCTCGAAGGCGAGAACATATTCCAGATCTGACGTCCTTGTGACGCGGGATGGCAGGAGCCATGTCGACCGTGTCGATTCGAGCCTATTCGATTTCAAGGACTTCGATTTCGATTCATCTCCGAAATCTGACTCTGGTTTGGATGCCTCAGTGTGGACCTCGACTCGGGCTGCCAGACGTCGATTTCGATGCCTTCCGATCTGCCTGCCCATGCCTGCAGTTCCGATATGATCTGATGGCCGGTCGGATTTTCCGATTCGGGGTTGTCTTGGAGAGGGGTGGTCCGGGGGGCGAAGGCGTATGAGAGTGCTGTTTGGACTCTGGCAAGTCTAATTGCATGGCATTCCCCTCCTTTTCCCCCTCCTCCTCCCCCTCTTGCTCCCCCTCCTCCTCCTCCTCCTCCTCCTCCTCCTCCTCCTCCTCCTCCCCTCCGCCGCCTTTTAGAGCAGCGCTGCTTCGAAACGCCGCGCCAGCGTGTCCCGAGGTGTGTGAAGGTCGAATTTCCTTCCGGGCCTCCCCACGCCTCCCCTCCACGCAGGTCAACTGCCGGAGCCTACTCCGAGTTTCGTAATAAGCGTCGGTGGGGGCGTCACCTCCGCCGACAGCGCCACATCGACCCCCATCGCGGGCAGCCACCGCGCGCCGAAGGCGCTCCGACCCCCGTCGCGGCGCGACGACGATGCGAGGTTGACCCCCGTCGGGGGGGCGGGGGGGACCCCCCCCCCACGCTTGTTAGGAAACCCGGAGCAGAGAAGCAGTGCCTACAGTCGGCCTGGATTAGTAGGTCGACCCTGCCAGCTCAAGGGCACCCTTGTGTCCTGTGCCTCGCGACCCATGCTTCCTACATTCCTGTGGCAGTGTGGCCCTCGGAAGGGTCTCGTGTCCTCTCGCGTGTCCTCTCCAACCGAGTCCGACGGTACCCCCCCGCGCTTGCTGGGAAGCCTGGAGCAGAGAAGCAGTGCCTGCAGCGTCAAGGCGCTGACGTCGAGACCGTCCAGGGCTCGGAAGGGGCTCCGGTTCTCGGGCCGTCCCTCGGATCCGGATCGGAGGGAAGCCCGTTCGTGGCCGAGGCTCGCCGTGTCCCAAAACAGCCCTTCCTGTCTCTGCCCAGCGCTGCTCGTGGTAGCGTTAAGTCGGGCGTGCCCCTTCTACAGGAGACAAATTCAAAACTTGTAAGACCACTTTTTTTCTCGTTTTTTTTATCTCTTTTTGTTGTGCTTCTCTCTCTCTCTCTCTCTCTATGTTACAGTACTCTTGAATTGTTGTTTGACGCTTTTTTCATTTTTCCTCCAAGCTCCGCCTGTAGGAGGACATGCCCGACCTAATGGCAGCGTGGTAGCGCGCTGATGGTATCCAGTTTTTTCCTGGGGGGGTCGCAGGCGTACCTCGGCTACGAGGAGGACTGCACGCTCGTCCACGGGCATCACGGCAGCGAGGGGGGTTGGAGGGTCGACCTGGAGGCCCTGCGGCAGACCAGGCTGGACCCTATGCTGCAGGAGGAGGAGGAGGAGGAGGAGGAGGAGGAGGAGGAGGGGGAGTCGGAGAAGGAGGGGGAGGGAAGGGGAGACGACGAGGATATGGAAGAGGAATAACGAGGATGATGATCATGGTGGTGGTGATGATGATGATGTTGAAAGTGAGGCTGATGATGATGCTGATGGTGATTCTGATGATGATGCCGCTGATGCTGATGAGGATGAGGATGAGGATGATGATGAGGATTCTGATTATGGTGGTGATGATGCTGGTGGTGATTGTGGTGGTGATGATCAATGTGGTGCCGGCCATGATGATGGTGGTGGTGGTGATGACGACGACACTGACGACGGTGCTGATGATGATTATGCTGATTATGGTGATGGTGGTGATGATGTTGGTGACGATGATACTGATGATGCTGGTGATAATGATGATGACGATGGAGGTGGTGATCATGAGCGTTATGATGTTGCTGATAATGAGGATGATGACGGTCCTGCTGGCGACTAATGTTGATGCTGCTGATGACGATGATGACGACTTTGTCGACGATGCTGATGCTGATACTGACTATGCTGATGATGATGATGATGATGATGATGATGATGGTGACGGTGATGGTTGTGGTGCTGATCATTATGATGCTGATGCTGATGATGTTGTGGAGGTGATGACGACGCCTCTGACGACGATGTTGATGAGTATGATGATGCTGATGAGGATGATGATGATGATGATGATGATGATGATGGTGATTATGATGTTGACGACGATGGTGGTCGGGATGCTGGTGGTGGTATGATGATGATGATGACGATGGTTCTGGCGATGCTGAGGAGTATAATTCTTCTCGTGAGGATGATGATTCTTCTGCTGTTGATGCTGGTGTTGAAGATGAGGATGTTAATGATGACGACGAGGACGATGATGAACGATGACGATGGTGATGCTGATGATGACGATGACGACGACTTTGATGATTTTGGGATTGATTATGATGCTGATAGCCATGATGCTGATGATGAGGAGGGGGAGGCGGAGGTGGAACATAGTAGAAAGGCAATTATGAGGAGGAGGGGGAACCACGAGGATACGGGGGAGAATGATGAGGAGCAGGAGGATGGATTTTTCTGCTGCTTGTGATGATGATGATCAGGACAAGGCGGATGATTTTGATGATGAGGATGATGATGATGCTGCTGATGGTGATGATGATGATCTGATGCTGATGATGATGATGCTGATGATGCTGATGATGCTGATGATGATGAGGCGGATGGCAATGATGCTGATGATGAGGATGCTGTTGTTGATGATGGTGATCGTGGTGGTAGTGGTGGTGAGGTTGATGGATAGTGCTGTTGCTGGTGATGGTGAGGATGGGGACGGGGGAATTGGACCATACAGGTGATATTGCAGAGAAAGGTGAGGAGCCTTTACGGGCATAAGGGGAAGGATGATGAAGAGCAGGAGGAGGGATGATGATGCGGCTGCTGATGATGTTTATGGTGATGATGATGCTGATGATGCTGCTAATCTCCATGATGATCATGATCATGGGGACGATGTGGACGACAATGATGCTGCCGATGATGCTGCTGGTGATGATGATGATGATGATGAAGATGATTGTGACTATGCGGATGGTGATGACGTTGATGATGCTGTTGCTGCTGATGATGATGAGGGTGATCATGATGATCATGATGATGATTCAGCTGATGATGATGATGCTGTGGTGGTGGTGTCGGTCCTGATGATTTGGGTTAAACTGCTGCGATGATGATGATTTCGATTATCACAATGGTGGTGAATCTGATGATGACGATGATGCTGATACTGATGCTGATGACGATGATGATGGTGATGATGATGATGATGATGCTGTGTTCGATGCTTTTGGTGATGATGATGATGATGCTGGTGCTGGTGAGGATGATGATGTGTAATGCTGCTGCTGCTGCCGATGCTGGTGCTGATGACGACGATTTTGATGATGATGACGATGATGATGATGATGCTGCTGATGATGATGATGATGATCATCATCATGGAGGTGGTGATGAGGACGATGATGATGATGCTGATTCTGGCGATGCTGATGATGTTGCTGTGCTGTTGAGGTTGATGTTGATGTTGTTATTGGCGTTGATGTTGAGGTTGTTGTCGTTGGTGACGGTCACGATGCTGTTGATGAGGATTCGGATGATTACGAGGATGATGCTGCTGATGATGATGCTAATGATGATGATGCTGATGATGATGCTGATGATGATGCTGATGGCGATGCTGATGATGGTGATGATGATGATGCTGCTGCTGATGATGATGATGTTGATGCATATGATGTTTCATGGTGATCAGGAAGTGGCGGCCGAGGAGGAGGAGGAAGAGGAGGAGGAAGAGGAGAGGAAACTTTGATGAGGGAGGTGGAGGAAGAGACGAAGGATGAGGCGGCGGAGGACCTGGAGGGGGAGGAGGAGGAACGTGGGGACGAGGAGGACGAAGTGGAGGATGAGGAGGGGGCAGGGAGAAGGACAAGGAGCTGCCATGAAAGCCAACCCTTCCCACGTTTCCCCATCGACCTGGCGCCCGCACCGCCGTTGGCCGCACGGGGCTCTTTGCTGGCACAGTGCCGTGGGCCGCACGGGGCTTCCAACGTGCAGCGGCTGGCCGCTCTCTGGTTCCGAGGGGCCCGCGCGCGGGCTCCGGGGCTGCCGAAACCGATCTGGGATGGAACAGCTATCCACAGAGAGTGTGTCCTGCTCCTCTTCCTCCTCCTCCTCCTCCTCCTCCTCCGCCTCCTCCTCGTCCTCGTCCTCGTCCTCGTCCTCGTCCTCCTCCTCGTCGTTCTCGTCCTCCTCCTCCTCCTCCTCCTCCTCCTCCTCCTCCTCCTCCTCCTCCTCCTCCTCCTTTCCTTTTTCCTTATCAACAACTTCTCCCTGTCGCACCCCGAGGCCAGTTTTTCGGGCGGGCCGGGCGTGTCGCTTGAGACCTCCTCGTCATTTATGCTTCTGGATCTTAGACATTGGCAGCAGCTTCACATATGGAGGGCGGGTCGTTTTCAAAATGTGGCTCTCGCCTCAGCGCCACGCACATTCGCTGTACAAATTATAGTTTCACGGTCGGTTTCAATTTTCGCTCTCGTCTTAGTGTCGTTTTTAAACATTGCAAAAGTTTCACGGGTCGAGGGCGGCTCCTTTTCAAACTATGGTTGTCGCCTTAGCGCCGCGCACATTCGTTTACACATTTTGTATCAAGAAAGAAGAAGTTTATGTATTCCCAGCATCAACGTACCAGGGATGCCGTGTTGGAAGGATTGAGGATTATGCGGGTGCAACAGGTACGTTTATTCTCTGCATTGAAGTCCTAGGAATGGCGTTCTGACATGATTCAGGATCGCCAAGACGTAACAGTCAAGTTGATCCGTGGCGTTGGGATCCTGAGAACAATGTTTTGGCATGCAACGAGGCAGTTCCACCAATGGAGATGAACCGTAGTAGGGGCCTAAGAAGAGGCAGCTCGAAGCGAGGGTGCATTCCAACATCCCAACATCGTTCGTGACCCTTGGGTTTACACTGGTCACCCTCCTCCTCCTCCTCCTCCTCCTCCTCCTCCTCCTCCTCCTCCTCCTCCTGTCATTTCCCCCCCCCGCGAGAAGGGGGAAACGCTACCTGCATCAGAGGTCTAGGGTGGAGGAGGGTGAGCGTCGTCGTCGGACCGAAGTATGGGGTTCAAGCTGTGCTCCCGAAGGGGGTACTCGAGGGAGGAGGGAGGAGGGAGGAGTGGGAGGGTAAGAGTAAGAGTAAGAGTCCCAGGACAGTGTCCACGGGAGGAGTGGGAGGGGAGGAGGAGGAGGAGGAGGAGGAGGAGGAGGACGAGGAGGAGGAGGAGGTGGAGGAGCAGCAGGCCAGGGAGGAGGACGAGGAGCGAGGAGCTGGCGCCAGAGGAGAGGGATGATGATAATGATGACCTCCTTTCATCCTCTCCCCTCCCGCCTCCCTCATCACTCCTTCCTCCCGCCTCCGTCCCTGGTCACTAGTCTCCCCCACCCTCGCTGAGTCCTTCTCCCTCCTTGATTCTGATCCCTCCCTCTTAGCCCTCTATCCTGGCAGTCTTGTTGCACTCCCTGCGTATCTGCCTTGCCTCTCTCTCTCGCTCTCTCTCCCTCCCTCCCTCCACCCGTCCCCCGTCCCGCCCGCTCTCCCTGCATCAGCCTCCCTCCCTCCCTCCTCTCCTTCTCAGCCGCCGCCCCGGTTCGAGAGGTTTGGGTGCCGTACCAGGTACGGCGACCTCTCACGGGCGGCAGCCACGCGCGCTGGCCCGCGCCCCAGTCCCGCGCGATCCGCGCTTGGGCGGCCCGCGGCTGGCCGCGCACGCTCTCGCGGCCCTCCGCCTGGCCCGCTTGCTGGTCCCGCTGGCGCTGGACCTCCCAGGCGCGGGCGCGCCGAGCCCGCGTGGCATCGGCGAGCGCGCCTGAGACGTGCACAGTCGCGCACGCTGCTGCGGGTCGCGGCCGCCGCGCGCCTCCTTGCCGCACACCACAGTACCATGGGCAAGGGAGGCAGCGGCAAGGGCCGCACGGGCGCGACGGGCGGCACCGCCCCCCCTGCCGTGGCAGGGCGCGCCGCCGCCCCCGCCGCCAGGCTGGTGGTGTGACGACTGTGGTGGCTTCAACGGCCCACAGGAAAGGCTATGCAGGTGCTGCTACCCAGGCCCTTCGGGCCCAGTCGGAGGAGGCGGGCATGGAGGCCCACCGCAGCAGCGGCAGCAGCAGCAGCAGCAGCAGCAGCAGCAAGTGCATCATCCCCGCCGACGGAGCTCGACATCACCAGGGACGCCAACCCGCCGACGCTCCGTCTCCCGCCGCCGCAGACGTGAGCGCGAGAGGCGAGAGGAGCGGCCGCGGTCGGGCTCGCGTGTACGCTTCGCGGATGAGCCCGAGCCCGACCCTGACGGCAATGGCGTCTCGGATGCCGACGAGGAGATGCGCAGCCC